GTTCTGGTTGCAGATAAATCGAAAAGGCCTATCACTAATGTATTGGGTGTATTAGCACTTTTGTGTGGATAGTTTCTTTTCATTCTTTTAAATCTATATATAATTTACTCGTTAATAAATACCCTCTAGTGTCTCATATTTCAGGACCTGGATAAAAGAAAAAGTAGACAGAACTTAGACAGGATGTGGTACCTGCATTGTCAGGATCCTGCCAATGTCTTCAGATAACTTAACATTGTGGCAAAAAGTTATATTTACTTCCTTGCTGCTTTGGTTATTCATTTTGGACAGTTTTAAATCTAATTTTAAAGAGATTGTGTGTTAATTACTTTACCTACTGACCTGTCTTTTTGTTTCTTTAAATACATTTTTTAGCACAAATGAGAGCAGTGGTTGCCCTTTGCCCAGAGACAGCAGGAAGTAATCATATGTATCAAAGTGGAAGATGGTATTTGGTAATTGGATAACTTCTGTGTGTTATTGGTTTTTTTCTTCCTTTCCCTCTAGCCTAAATAAAGAACTTACTTGTATGTGGTTTTTTAATACTCCTCTTTCTTCATTGTTTTGTTTTTTTCTGTGCTGGGAAAGTAGCTCTGGCAAATTGCCACAATCTTATTTTGGAGTAAAATATAATGAGGAGAATGCAGATTCCTTTCAGTGATGTGCATGTTGTCTTGTTTCAGGAGCACACAACAGTCTAAAGTTGAAAAGCCCAAGGTGAATACTTCACGTCTGCTCTAACATTTAGAAGTAAAACTGAACTTTATAGAAAACTAGTATTGTCACACCATTGGTAATATTTAGTTACATTTTTATTACTGCATCCATTAATTACTAGACAAATTGGATCATTTGATGTCAAACGATCAACCAAGACAACACAGTTAACAGTGGCAGAACTGGAAAGAAAATCCATGGCTGCTGAGAGAAAACTGATTGTTCTATCTTTTGGAATTTAACTACATCTGTATCCCTATCCAATCAGTATTATTTTGTGATATGACTGTAGTACAGTTGTGTGCTTAAAATTATAGTCCACAGCTGCAGACAAAAGTACTCTTGAAACTGTTGAAATAGTTGATGTAGAGAGGCACAAACATAGATGCACCTTCACTCATGACCTTTACTAATTGATTTCTGAGCCCACAAATGTAATGGGTGCAGGAATTAGGTACTTCACCCATGAGACTCTCCTTCCATGGTAGTGCTATGACTTAGTTGTTACTAGAATATCACATCACTGCAAGTCAGTTTTTCCTGTCTGTTCTCTGCTTATTTATTTTGCCCTCAGGGTTCTTTGGCTGCCCTTAATGGAGGAACAGAAGCCTTTCATTTGTTTGTTTATCAGGATGTAAAGAGCGTTTTGCTCTTGCTTTGCCCACTGTAAGTTGTGACAAATCTAATTAAATGAGTGAGCTACACAACTTCTGTAAATGAAATAAGAGGTATTTATCTTGTCTCCCCACTCAGTCTTGTTAAGAAAATGAGAAATCTAGATACAGTAAATAACCTTTACACAGAGATGGGAGAAATCGTTAATGTAATTGTAAAGGGGGCATGGCATGCCTTTTTTCTTGGCTCATTTCTGCTTTGCCCCTCTGACTTCAAAGCCTGAAATGTACATTAATGTAGCAATTCAGTGAACTGCTGTCCAGTGAAAGAATTTTCTAAAAGCCTCTGTTTTGGTAGAGGTGTAATTGAGGCATCATTCCTTCTTCCAGAATAAGTCAGAATTTAGAGAAACATTTTTTTTTAATGTTCTCTTTCCCTCTGTATGAGCTATGTATCCAGATCAAGGATTTATTAAACAACCTTTTCACTTGTTTGTGTTCAGGAGAGGGGGGAAAAAGTTTTTTCTTTGACGTTCTCAATATTTTCCACATAACTGGATTGAAACCTGAAACCATGTCAAGCAAAATCTGTGACAGTAATGTACTCTAATTTGTTTCCCTGAAGATTGGTGTGATGAGTTGTTCAAACTTTATTCTCTCTTAAGTTGTTTGAACACCTAATTTCTAGATAGCCATACATTATTCATCTTTAATGCTGATAGTAAGCTGATAATAAAACAGGAAATATCTCACCTCTTTGTGATATTTTCCAAAATATCCTTCTTGTTCTCCTGTACACATACTTTTTTAAATGTTGGTTGTCCAAGATGAAAATAGACATATTTTCAATGATATGTGTACCTACTTATAGGGCTGCTGGCTAACTGCTTAGCAGATTGTCTTCCCTATTTGTGACAAGTATTAATGGGTCAGTATTTTAAATAACTGCTACAGGAACATAACATCATACATTCTTACGTTTATTTGAATGCAGATTCAAATAAATATGGAACATGAATTATTACCTGCATGCAGACAGCAGAGAGCAGTAGTCACTGAGCTGTTGGTCAGATGGAGGGAAGGACAAGGATAGAAAGTAATTTCATAATCAACAGCTTTAATGGATGATAACACTGTAGGAAAAAGCAGAGCTGGCAGGCTTTGGCAGCATATTCAGTCTGAGGTTACTGTTGTTATTTGAGCTAACACTGACATGAAACTAATGAAGATACATTTGTTTAGATGTGCTGTGTACAGACATTACTGGACACATGGCCCCATCTGATGAGAAAATAGGTTTAGCTATTTTTTAAATGTTTGCTGCTGGAGCAGGCTAAAGAGGACAATATTCTTGAATAATCAGATTTGCCTGTGCTTAAGAGGTTTTCTGCACTAGAAATGAAGAACTTGGTATTTGATCTACTTTATGTATCATCAGGATCATGAGTGATGCATCTCTGAATCACTGTCATGGTGTAAAACCTTCAGTGGTGTCATACAGGAAAATTAGACCCATGGATGGGTGATAAACTTCACTGGCAATAAATGAGACAAATTGTGCATTACTAGACTGGTGCTTCAATAATGCTGTAGTGTTTCTGAGCTCTAGAAAAGTAAACCTATTTTCAATTTACAGCTTTATACTGGCATTAGAGAGACACATGAGTTATGTCTTGGGTTACATACACAATTCAATTTTTCAGCTCTTTGTAGGCTGTGATTGTGTAGCATCTGTTCTGATGCTTTTGTAACTTAACCTTTCTTTTTTATACTTTCCTACCTAGCTTTTGCTTTCTGTAAGAGGTTATGACAAAGATTTTCCTCCAAAATCCTTTTAAAAATAGTAAAAATAAGCATTAGATTAGATGTGGTATTTTGCTTATGTAGTTTGGCTGCTGAGAACAGAGAATCTGGTTTAATTTAATTTGCTATATTGTCTTTCAGTTCTTCAATTCTAGGCATTAGCCATTAATATTCATACAAAGTCTCCCTTAAAAAGAAAAAAAAATCAATACACAGATCTGACCTTAATAACAAGGGTTTGCTGTTAATCAATAGAATCACTAACATAATGAATTACCCTTCAAAATAGCACTCTACTTGTTTGGATCTGTCTTGAAATCTTTCAACTTGAGTCTGGTTTAGTGCTGAAAAGTGTTTCAGTTATGTTCAATGAAGCTGATGTCTACTGTTCATAGGGCATCCAGACCTTGCTCTTTAGGAGATTATGATTTTTTTTTTTTTTTTGATGCTTATACACTGAATCTGGTGGACTTTCTATTAGACCCTAGAATTTTTTTTTCCCTTGTTATATCATACCAGGTATTTCTTTTAAGATTGGCCTTGGGCCCACAGGCAGGATTGTCACTAATTTCAGATATTCTCCTATCAGTACTGAAAGTGCTTTCATGATGAAAGAAGAGAGGGGGTACCCCCGTGGTTAGGCAAGCAGAAGACTAGTTAGTACACTTTCAAATATATGGCAGACAAGTTGTTCTGCTTTGAGATAGGATCGGCTTTCTGCCACTTCCTTCAGTCATTGTCAGCTGTTCTTTGTAACTCGACAAGGCAACCAAACAAACTGTATTTTCTTGCAGTTCTACAGAAATAATTTTTCATTATACTGTAAATCTGAAGTGGCTGTTCCTTATCTTTTGATTTTTTTTTGGGGGGGGGAGATTAATTTCTATGTAGTCCTACAGTAAGCATAAGCCATGACTTCTTGCTCTGATTCACATAAAATTATGTGTATTTCCCTTAGTAGTCCTTGTTTGGTCACCTGGTGTATTTTTTGATTTTAAATGATACCTATAGCAAAATAATGTAGAAATACCTTCTATTTTCTGCTTTCTATTAATGTTTCCCTAAGCCTTGAGGGCTACTTTAACTTGAGCTGTGTGTTTGGTACTGTTGCTAAAGAACAGTTGGTAGCCTTTATTTGTGTTCCTGAGGGGAAGAGAGAGTACTGAAAAAGAAGTGGGTTTATGCTTTTAATTTCTCTTGTTGAGCATTAGTATTTGTCAGCTGCAGTAGTGGTGCTAAAATGTCATTAAATCTTGATGTTACACATCTGGTGACTTGTAATGTAAACTATTCCATGAATGTAGGTAATGCAGTTTTTTATACTTTTATAAATTGACATTAAAACCAAGTATTTAGTAATTTTAAACACAGCAATGCAATATTTAAATCTACTTATTATAGCTGTTTGTGGACAAAAAAATCCACATTTGCTTTAGAAGACATTTTATCTTATGATGCTAATAATTAAAGGGAATTAAAAACCCAACAAAACAAAGTAACAAAAACAAACACCCAAACTTTGTTCTAACAATAAGTCGTGTTTGGATTCTGATAGTTCAAGTAAAGGATGTCTTTTCCTTACGCTAATGTCTGTCCTTGCTTTTACTCTCATGGGGGAAGTGCAGTACAGTAAAACTTTCCAAGTCTGCAGCTTTATTAGTTCTGGATCTTAAAGGCCAAGAACCTCGTTTTCTCTTATTACTACTTCTCTTGCAGAGTGTTAATATATGAGAGCTTGTATTCAAATCTGCCAACAGAGAAAATGCAGAGATGTCTGGGAGAATGTGATAACCTTAGGAGTCATACAGAGTTCTAGAAAATACCTAATATATGAGATTATTTTAAGTATCTGTTCATTTTGATTTGTTTGCTATACAATTGAATTGTACATAGATATTTTGTGCTGTTCTTTTATATTCCAGAATTCCCTTTACTGTTAAAGATAACACTTAATGATGACAGAAGATTAAATGGCCTGTCCAGAATCTTTTGCCTCTGGTAAGTGCAAAACAAATATCTTCACTCTACTAGATCTTTGTTTTTCATTACTACAGAAAGATTAAAATTATTTGCCTTGGCCTCAGGCCTTCAATTGCTCTGTTGGGTTATTAAACCTACATTGGAGAGCCAGTAATGAGTGGTATTCCTTATGTAGCTTGGCTGTTTGTTCCTTACAAATAGAAGATTGATTACAATGGTTAAGAGACTTGGGATTTATTGACTTGTCTTTCTGAGAATCTTTTATCTCATAATTGCTTTCAAGAGTATTTTCCTGCTTTTTTCACCCCCATTAATCACTAAATCATCTTTTTCTATAATAATCAATAGTAACTGAGAATGTTAGTCCACAAACTCAGGACTAGCAGGTGGCTTTTTCCAATTTATCAGGAGTATGAGGGTCTTTACTGATATGAGGGAACCTAAAATATAGGTAGAATTGTGGGCTTTATTACCTTGGGGCTAATTCGACTGCATTGAAGGGCAAGTTAAACACTGTATCAGAAATGTCCAGTGGTTAATATTTAATCGTTTCCTGTTTGGTATTTTAAACAAAGAATTCTCTGATTTTTAACTTCCCTCCTGTCTGCAAACAGCTTAAGCCCTGGATTCCTGTGTTATTCACAGGTGAATGTATTAAAAAGTGTTATGAGCAAACCAGGGCAAACTAAATCCTCTCACAAAACAACACAGGCCTTTTAATTCTGATATTGCTTCCCTATAAAATACTAAACCTTGAGTTTTAGAGCACTGATGTGCTCTGTTCCAGTTTAGCCATGTTCATTCTAGGTCAAGGAGATAATTCTGTGAGCTTTGAGTTTTCTTTGTAGGCTCTTACTTCTCTGGTGAAAAATAAACTGCAGTATAGTCTCAGAATTAACATAGTGTTTAAAGTCTGAAATGCTGTGGTTTAATGAGAAATATTTTGCAATATAATTACTGCTCCTAAAAACATTTGGAAGGAAGACAGAAGCGACTTTATGTAGGTGATAATGAACTGTGAGGCTAATTATGAGATGTAATATGCATATATTTATATATAAATTGATAAAATAGTAATATAAGTTTTAACACTTTAAAAATGTCTAGGAAATCTGTGTTTGGGCCAAGAAATAGCTTTTCAGAGAAGATGGTGTGATGTGCATCTTTTAAGTACACTGGCAGCACTGACAGCCCATACCCTTCAGATTTAGATTCCAAAAGAGTAAATTATTTTGAATTTTGAGGTGTGTAGATCTTAGGTACCGATTATTTGGTTTATATTGTAAGACTTTCTTTTTTCTTGAACCGAATTCAGCATGAAGTTTTTAAGGGTATCTCCACTATACAAGTTATTACCGTAAATTATGGGATGGTAGTGGAAAGACAAAGGCATCGAGATCTTACTTTGTTTCTCCTGAGCCTGATTTTGTAAGAACAGACTTATAAAAAGTAAGCTGTTTTATCTGGTATATGGTAGATTATCTTCAATAGAGAGATAAGAGGGAACAAGTTGACCATTCAGAAATTACTGTTGTTGATCTATGAAACAGATGGAAAAAGACTTTAGTTAAGCTGATTGTATAAAATGGAGTGGAGCAAAGAATCTGAGTATGAAAATAAACTTGCAGTTCCATGGTCACACTGAACCACATATTACAGCATATTGGCATGTGATTTATGTATTTGTAGGGGGGATTTATGCTGTACTGAGATGGTTATTAGACACCACAGGAACAGAAGTAGCTTTTATATTGTTAGATTGAGATAGGTGGTGTAAATACTAATTTTCAAAGCGCGAGTTAACTCATCCAGGTTTTTAATTTTAAAATCCTTTCTTCCATTATAATTAATATTCAGTTTTAGCAGTGTGATCTCAGTGTAAAATCAGCTTATCTTTCAGACTAACATGGATTAGGAATCTTGTTTTGATAAACAGTCTACAGACCTTCTGAGAAATCATAGGGCTTATGCATAAACTTTGAAATAAGGACATGTAAAGTAAATGGATTTGACTGAGTTTTAATGTGAACAGATATATAGAGCCTGACCATACAGAAAGGTCAGACTGTAGATATGCTTTTGTATATCCACATGAATTAAGTTGTTCCATTTCAAGCAGTAATTTACTCTTGGCTTCCCAGGTAGAGGTGCCAAGATTTTTTTTAAAATTTTTTTTTTTTTTACTACTTCTGCTTGGTATCCTTTCAGATAAAGGATTATACTTACACAGTTTGGAAACTTCAATGTCCTGAACAATGATGTAAGAACTTTATTTAATTTGTTTTGCAAATAAGTCAAGCCTTTTTTCCTCATTTAGCAGATGTGCTGGTAACACACAAAATTCTTTGTACCACGTAAAAACCAAAACAAAGTGTATTTTAATGACTTAAAAGTTCTGTGACGTGTTCACACGACAAGTACCTTTTCTTGTAAATCAATGACTGTTCTTTTCACAACCCTTCTTTGTATTAGTTTAGTAAAAATAGACAGTAATTCTTATAATGTGCCATTGTAATTTGTATGTGCTATGGGGGTCATCTTGTCTATAGCAGACAAGAGAATCTCATGCATTTTAAGTACAAATTGGTTTTTCTGCCACCACTGATATATTTCAGAGTCAGGAACAGTGTTAAGCCTCAGTTTCCTGTACCACTGTTGTCATGTCTGTAAATGCAGATGTCTCCTCACAGCGCTCGCAAGAGTCGTGATTCACAGTCACCTTTATTTTCATGTCGGTTTTATGTTTACTTATACAATTTTTATCACAATTCCTTATTCATATTAGATAGTTTGCTGTCTAAGCTACTATGATAAAAGGTAAAAATTAATTATAAATACAAAAAAGTAGTTCCTGCTGTTGGTCTTTTCCTGGTCAGTGTGTGTCTTGTGAGCAGATCTTTGCTAATGAGCATTCAGAATTAACAGATGGTATTGCAGATATGGGTACAACTGAGTGCAAAATCAGGATGCTCCTAGAAATGTAAGAATTTAAGATGGAGACAATGGAAAAAGGCTAAAAGTACTTAGATGTTGCACAAATAAGAGAGGTGGTATTTTTCACTAATGCCAAAAAAAGTTTAAAGACCACAACATCAACCGGATTGAGACTGCAAAACAAATACTAGATTCTTTTGCTGAAGATGCCAGCTTTCTGTACTCTGAGTGATACCAATCAGTCCACCCAGTTAGTTTTTCTCTGTAGTGAAAGGAATCTGATTATAGTGGAAGTGAAATTATGGCTGTAATAGTTAACCCTCATTTCTTACAGCACAGCCAAGTAACTGAACCCAACACTGCAATGTGTAGGCATTACTATTTTTTAAACACATCATGCACCAGTTTATGTTTCAGAATTTTAGGTTCAATGCCAATTTCACTTTGCATCAATACTTCATTTTCTTGCCATTACTATTTCTAGAAGCCTAGAGAAATCATTATTCCCTTGGGTTTGTGTGCACCTATTGCCACAGTAAGGGTTGGATCTGCCATTGCAGTAATACAGGAAAGCTCCCTCTAGGAGAATTTTGCTCTGTATTGGGAATCTGGGGCAGCTGTTAAACAGGCAGGAGTGTCTTGACTTTAATCCCTAAGCCAGAACAGATAGCAAAGAAGGGGGGAAAGCAAAGCTTGTAGAGGTGGAGTTGGGAATACTGGGAAAAGTTGCGCTCAAAAGACATGACTGGCTGTGGGAGCTCACCTGTGTGCTCCAGGGTAGCCAAAAAGCACCTGTGCTCTGACCAGGGATTTGGAAAATTATGACAGACTGATATATTACCCAAGCCATTTGGGAACTTCTTCAATAGAGCTGTTCCCTTTTCCCCACAGACCTGGGCTTTGGAGGCTTGCTATTCGTTTTATTAATACAGGTTTACTGTTCAGAGACAACATAACTTAGGGAAGAGTAGGGATCATGTTATTTTTATCACATGGATAAATGTAGCTCAAAAAGAAAACTTAGTCATGCAAACCTAGCACTTACAGGAGTTATACAGATAAAAATGACCTGTGTAAAATTACATACTTGTAAAAAGAATCTGGAACTAACAGATTGTCAGAAATAACATTCTGTGTCTTACAGGTCATGGTGAGGTATTTATTACTGAAAGTGTAGAATTTACCGAAAATATTACTGAAAGTAAATGAAATCTGTCAAATGTTTTAATTTAATATTCAAAAATTTTTCAAGTCAAACTTTACTAGATTTTTTTTTTTTAACAATTATCTTTTGCGTGAAGTGCATCTAAAAATAATAACCATTTTCATACCTTCAAATTGGAATACATTCTGGGACCAACACAAAAACTGACACCAGGATACAGCCCGATGGGTCTGATATATGAGCTTCTGATGAAGTTCTTTCTGGACCTCAGACAGCAGTAACTTTGCAGTTGGGAAGTGCTGAAGAAACTCAATTCCCCTCTTTTTTTTTTTTTTTTCCCTTAAATGTCATACATTCTAAGCATTTGTAAAAAATATTACAAAAATGCTTTGTCATTCTAATGAACATCTGTGATTGCAGCTGTTGTTCATCTTTTATTTTAAAGATTTTTCAATTGCTAACGTCATATATTAAGATAATTTTTTTTTTTGTTTGTACTACAGTCAGCACAACAAACACTGGTTTGACACCTGTAAATAAAGGCTATGCCCAGTGCAAGGTGGCAGGTCAGCTTTAGAGAAAGGTTTCACATACAAAAAATACCAGCATAAGCTCAAACCAACCAGGAAATAAAATGTAGACTAATGTGTAAGTCATGGTAAGTATTGGTGGCAAATTGTGATGTGTGCAGCAGCGACTGCGTGTTACTCAGAGCTGCTGAGAGGGCCACTGAAACAAGCCTGCTGTACAGGTGCTAGATTGTGACATAATAAATAGTCTGTACAGTATCGCACTATATAAAAAGTTTAAAAACCACAATGAGAATATATTTTAAAAAATTTTTTTATATTGTAAAAAATTTAAAATTAGGTCCAAACCACCATTAAAAAAGGTATGAAATGTGCAATTTTGCAAGTGG